TTCCAGATGGCAGATTTATTTGTGGGGTCCACTAGCTTTCTTCCAGAAATTAAAAAATTTGCTTTCATTTTGATAGTAAACTTAAAAGTCTAATATAGGCATATTCTGGAATCATCAGAATGAACCTGTTGTATGTTTGTGTTTAGGATCTTCTTGGGGCACGGTAGTACTATTTTGACTATTTTCAGATAATGGAACATAAACAAAGATGAACTTAGTATGATCTATTTCAGCCAGATGGGTGGCAAATAATATTAACCATATATTGTTTGATTGGACATTCATCATAGTTTGATTAAAAAAAAAAGTAATGGCTGAATTGATTCATAACAGGTGTGTGGTAGATATGCCATGCTGAACGCAAATATTGAATTAATGTTTTTTTGCTTTAGTTTTATTGTTTTGATTATACTTCATTTACAAATTGGATTTGGTTTTTTATATGAGAGCTGCAAATTGAAGATTATAATTAGTTTTAAATTCACACATACTTAAGGAATATTATAATAAAAAAATTGTCAACATTGGGAGATGCTGGTGAAGCGTTTTTTTTTTTTTTCTTTAAAGGGGTCCAAACATTTCTCAGGTTTGAGGAACATCCTGCTAAATTAACAAATCTGATGACAAAAGGTGGACCCTCTTGCTCTCCTATCTTAAAATGGTTGTTCTGGTGGTTCTCAACCCTGATCACACTTCAGAATCAACTGAGGAGCTTTAAAAAAATACTATACTATATCAGCTATGTTAATATCAGATATAGCTGTACTAATATAATAAAAAAATAGAGTTTTAAGACAAAAATCCTCACTAGAGGTAAAGAATGGCATTTTATAATGATAAAAAGTTTAACCCATCAAGCAAAATAGAAACTATAAATATATATACATGTACCAGCAGAACCCCAAAATACATGAAGCAACACAGACAGAATTGAAGGGAGAAACAGAAAATGATAGTCGAAGACTTCAATATCCCACTTTCAATGATGTACAGAACAACCAGGCAGAAAATCAACAAGGAAATAGAAGACTCAAACAATACTACAAACCAACTAGAGCTAACAGGCATCTATGGAACATTAACAACAGAATACACATTCTTCTCAAGTGCTTATGGAACATTCTCCAGGATGGCTCATATATAAGGTCATGCAATAAGTCTCAATAAATTTCAAAGGATTGAAATCATAACAAAATATGTTCTGACCACAATGGAGTGAATTAGAGATCAGTAACAAAAGGAAATTTGGGACATTCACAAATATGTAGAAATTAAACAACATACTTGTAAAACAATCAATGGGTCAAAGAAGTAATCACAAGGGAAATTAGAAAACACTTAGAGATAAATAAAAAGGAAAACACAACATACCAAAACTTATGGGATGCAGCTAAGGCATCATGGGGAAATTATAGCTTAAACACCTATATTGAGAAAAAAGAGGGGTGCCTGGGTGGTGTAGTCGGTTAAGCGTCTGACTCTTGGTGTTGGCTCAGGTCGTGATCTCAGGGTCTTGGGATCAAGCCCCAAGTTGGGCTCCACGCTCAGCGTCGAGTCTGCTTGAGACTCTCTCCCTCTCCCTTTGCCCCTACCCCCTTCTCTCTCTCTTTCTGAAATAAATAAATCTTAAGAAGATAAAAAGGAAGAAAGACTTAAAATCAATAACCCAACATTTCACCTTAAGAAACTAGAAGACAAAGAGCAAACTAAACCCAAAGAAACAGAAGGGAGTAAAAGAATGAATAATAGAGTGAAAAATAAATGAAACAGAGAATAGAAAAAGAGTAGAGAAAAATATGAAACCAAAAGTTGATTTTTTGAGATCAATAAAACTGACAAACCTTTAGCTGAAAAAAAGAGACTGAAAGTGCTAAGATCAGGAATGAAAGAGGAGACATTACTATCAACCATACAGACATAAAAGGACTATAAAGGAATACTATAAACAATCGTATGCCAAAAAAATTAGATAACCTAGATGAAATGGATAAATTCTACAAAGATTCAAACTAGAAAACTAATTCAAGAAGAAATAGCAAATCTGAGTAGATCTATAGCAAGTAAAAAATTGAGTTAGTAATCCAATCCCATAACAATCCAATTTCCCACAAAGAGAAGCTCACATCAGCATGGTATCACTGGTGGATTTTACCAAATATTTAAAGAAAAATTAACACCAATTCTTCACAAACACTTCCAAAAACAGAAGGAAACCTTTCCCAAGTCATCCTATAAGCATTACATTGAGACCAAAAGCAGACAACGTGTCCGAAAACGACAGACCAATATCCTTTATGAAAATGAATGCAAAAGTCCTCAACAACACACTAGCAGACTGAATCCAGTAACATGTAAAAAGGATTATACACCATAATCAAGTGAGATTTATTCCAGCAATGCAGGTCAATTTAACATACAAAAACGAATAAAGGACCAAAACCAAAACAAGACAAAACAAAGAACATCTCGATAGACACAGAGAAAGCAATTGACAAACATGACATATGACACCCTTTCATGATTAAAAACACTTAACAAACTGGGAACAGGAGGGAACTTCTTCACCCTGATGAAGGGCATCTACAAAAAGCCCCACAGCTAACATCATAGTTAATGGAGAAAGACCATAAGCTTTCTCCCTAAGATCAGAAACAAGACACTATTTACTTTTATTCAACATTGTATTAGAAGTTCTAGCTAGGGCAATTAGACAAGAGAAATAAACAAAAGATATCTTTATTGGAAAAGAAGAAGTAAAACTATCTCTATTTACAGATGATATAGTCTTGTATATAGAAAATCGTAAGGAATCCACCAAAACCACTGTAAGAGCTAATAAACTTGGTAAGGTTGCAAGATAAATAGACAAAAATTTTGCTTTTAGCTTTTGGCAGCTGTGAGGCTGGGGAGATCCGAGCCAGGCTGAGGAAGTCAAATCTCATTGTCCTCCTACCCTTCAACTTTCCCCCAAAGCCCCTCAATAAAATGATTTGATTCCCTTCACCTCAAAGTGTTTTTTTGTTTTTGTTTTCTTTTCGCTTCCATACACTAGCAAGAATTTGATAATTAAATTAAGAAAAACAATTCCATTTTCAATATCCTCAAATAGAATAAAATACTTAGGGATATATTTAATCAAAGAAGTGCAAGGATTAGGCATTGAAAACTAAAAAATATTATGGAGGGAAGCCTGTCTGGCTTAGTCAGTAAGAGCATGTGACCCTCAATCCCATGGTTGTGAGTTCAAGCCTCATGTTGGGCATGGAGACTACTTAAAATAAATAAATGAATAAATAAATAAATAAATAAATTAAAACAAAACAAAACATTATTGAAAGAAAGACCTAAATAAATAAAAAGATATCCCATATTCATGGATTGGAAGATCCAATATGGGTTAATATGGCACTGTTTTCCCAAGTTGGTCTAGAAATTCAATGCAATCCCTACGAAATTCCAGCTGGCTTTTTTTTTTCAGAAACTGAAAAGCTGATCCTAAAATTCATTCTTTGTTGTCCTGTGCATTGTAGGATATTTAGCAGCATCTCTGGCCTCTACCTGCTAGATGTCAATTCTCATCAATCCTTGGGTAAAATGAGTTCTGGAAGACAGAGGTTTGGAAGTTCCCTCATGCTCAAAAGCGTTGGATGGCATGGAAATGTGGGGATACAGCAAGAACATCGGCTACGGTTAACACCTGTACCACTCAGAATCACTTGTGTCCCACATTAATTAATTTCATGCTGTAACTGATTCTTTCAGGTGATGGCTGGTCACAATAAAAAAAAAAAAAGAAAGAAAATCTTATAGTAGGGAGGGAGGTTAGTGGGAGAGCTACAGTCCCCATTTCTGAAGATGGTCTCCAGGCCATAATAAACCCTCATTTTCTTCCTCCTCTCTCATCCTTGGAGATGGTATATTTTTTGCATGAAAGGCATCAAGTTATCTCTTCTTGCCTTTTTC